TGTCTTGCCTCATTCGGTGAGTGCGAATGGCGCTACCTTTTAGACACTTAGGGTGCTGGTGTACTTCCCTTGGGGCCATTCCTGTTCTCGTGCCACGCGCCCAAATCTCCTCAAGTAGGAGTCGAGGTAGTCCACCTCTGTTCGTCAAACACAGGCATGAGCTAGTGCGAGCTAAGGATTAGCGTAAGCACGAGTCCTGGATCCCTCGCTTCCTCCTGCTCCACCTAGCCCGTTCCCACCTGCCTCAACTAGACAACATTTTAAATCGAGGGTATGTCGGTCTGATTTAAATCACGATACGAATCATCATTTAAATCACGATTTCAATAATATTGATTTTTATTCTGCACCCTGCTGCTCAGTCTTTTGGGTCTCCGTGGTTGCAACTGGGGATAAGCTTGTCGAAAGACCTTGGATAACTTGTTGCTCGTAGGGATTGTTCAGCGAAGGGGTTAAATCTCCTTCCAAGGACCCAGGAATTTGTCCTAAACAATCCTTGCCGGGGGTCACAAAGCCGGCTGTCCGAGTTCAATGGAAGCCATTTTTGAATCCAGCTCGAGCAAAGTCTTTTTCGAACGCTTCCTCTTCTTTTTCACTGTTCTTTTCGTCCCGTGTTGTCTTTTTTCGAACTCCGCCTTGATGTTGGTCGCGCACTCTGCGCGTGATTTTCTTGCGTTAGTGTCTTCTCGCTTCTGTTTAGTCGACATTATCACAAGGCCTATTTGTTTTTCATAAATGCACATAAAGAAATCGTTCCGCCTCTCCACTCTCGTGAAGAAGGAAGTCCAGCAGAGCTGTACTCGATACACAATGTGCTCCTTCTTCGTCGTCGTCTGTTGTTCGCGCCGTTTCCTACGATGAATTCCCACCAACGCGCCAAACTATCCATTCTTCTATTATAGCTGGAATGGTTGCCGCCATCTACGAGCGATGGCGGAAATCATACTGGTTGTGTGTTTGCCGCCGTCGCTTATAGATGGCGGTAGCTGTCCAGGCAGGTTTGTGTCGACATACCGGACACGATCCTGGGGAACCTAGCACTTAATAGCTCCGCTGTAAAACGCGCAGCTTTCATTGTCTTTGTCTATTCTGTCGGAGTTATAGAAAGCCATCTATAGGGAGTATTCACTGACGGCCATAGCTGTGTGCCCTTGTAATGAGCGCGTGCTGACAGCGAGCTTCCACAGTTCGATTGCAATGTGAATTTCCCACCATCAAGATTAAACATGTCAAGGGTATATGGATTTTCGAGATTTCACTTAAGCTCAATAATTGCGGTGGCGTAAATGCTCAAGTTATATGGTGTAAAAAATACTTACACCGTTGCGATGCCAAACTTGATCGGCACTGGGATGACATGTCCGTGCAAGTACCGCCAATAGATGATGGGTTTGCCTGCTCTGGCCACCGACTGCACTGGAGAAAGCCACAGTGTGCGGTGAAAACTACAGTAAGGTGTAGAATGAAAGCCGAAAGAAATGCTGAGTAATCAAATTTAATACCGCATTCAATTCTTCTAGTAATATCGCAATTTGTGCATGCAAATTAGACTTTTACTTCAACACGAAGGTACAGTGTGATTTTCAGAAAGGCTCCCGCGGTCCTTGCAAGTGCGTCAGTTCGAGCGATATGCTATGTGCGCTAAGCAGTGTTGCGGGCGTTACCGAAAAAAAAAGGTAATGATACAGCTTACTCTTTAATTGCAAATAGAAAACGCGTTACCGACCTAAGTTACCCTTAAATTAAAAAAGCGCATTCCCTTCAACATTACCGATAAAAAGTAGCCCACGTCACTTTTGGGTCACTGCGTGCATATGAATTAAAAGTTGTTTGCTGTTTCTACGTTACAGGTATGCGTAAGCGCCGTATTTCAAGAAATACTATGTCCAAGCAGAAGCATAACATAAACACTTAATGTTTTTTTTTTCGGTTTCACTAAGGAACAAGGAGGCAATGTTTGAAGGAATGTGGGATGATCGTGCAATCATTAATATGACTTAGCGCCTAGCAACACACAAAAAAATGGAAGTGTAATTTTCTTAAATCGTCGGAAGAATAAGTAACGAGTAACGTAACTGGTTTACCCATTACTCGGCGGAATGAACGCAAATGCGTTATGCTTTACCGTTTTGAAAAAGGTACAGAGCATGTTACCACCTTAACAAAAAATTATCGCGTCACCGGTACCGCCGTTGCTTGGAACGCGTTTCCGTCAGCACTCGCGCTAAGGAAATTGTAACACGCTTACTGAGATTGCAAAGGTTCTATCCAACTCAATTCGCCGTGCTATTAGCACGTTTCTCATAAGCATACCACAAAATTGTGTAGCTTAAGCAGACCCCACAAGAAAACCCATACTGTTGGCTTGCCGGAGAGAAGTAAACAACTGCGCCGCTGGAAATTTTCGGTGTGTCTTTAGAAAAGTTTTAATGCGACTTTTGAATCTAAAGGCCAGCGTTATGATACTCTAAAGTCACATAATAAGAATCACTGCTTTACCTTCTAATTTATTTGCTGATATCGCGTGTTTACCTTTGTCGTGAACACGTTTGGTGCCGAGTTTCTATAAACGTGGGCCGTTCTCAATATGTGTTTCAACCATGTTTTAGAAGCTTTGGTAACCCTAATGAAGATTCTCACTTTTTTTATCACAACATATTTGACCAAAGTGTAGAAGAACAGCGGCACTTATGAGCATTTTACGGTTGGTATTTCATCTCGTTTAACTCGCGTCATACGCAGAGTAACTTTTTTGTGCACACCTCTACGTTTCAGAGAGAGCTCTTTCGATCAGACCTGCAGGCAGCACACCTACCAGGCCAGATGGAGTCACCGGAAACTTATAGCAGCGTGGATAATAAGACCAGAGTCTAGAGCGTTTTGTCGGCACATGTACATTATTCGTGTTGGAATGTGGACGTTTAAAATGCAATACATGAACAATGATTTTAAAAAGGCCACTTTATATAAAAAGTTACCACATCTGTAGCAACAATTACTGATACTGAAAACGTGTGTAACGTGAAAAATGGTCAACATTTAAAAATTTTGAAATTTGTTTTATTAAACACCACTCAAATCAGGGATTTCTAAACAGCCGTCAAAATATGCCCTACTAATTGTCAAATCATTTAAGGGACATTGTTTTTTTTTTATTTATTGGTAAGGTCCTGTGGGGTTGCACCGAAAGGCATGACCGGATGATATCTACTTCACACGAAAAAAGATATCGCTACCTATGATGAGTCGACCCGGCGCTTTTAAAAATTCCTACTTTTCTTGCTGGAAGCATGGGACTCTGATTGTACTTCGGAAAATAAGCAAACAAGAGCTTTCAACGTTTAAGTTTTACTTAGAGTCGGAATTGCGTGTTACGACACTATATAGAGACAAGAAAGCTTCTAGTTTTGACATTCAATAAACTATACGCCTCGATATGTCACAGGGTTAATTCTACCGCCTGCATCCACATTAGGAGGAAATGTGACTTTGTGTATGCAGGCGCCGATTTTTCCATTGTGTTTTGCAGGGTACGTAACACTCTGCCCGCCCTATACAACACTCAATTTTAATAAAGAGTTAACTATTTTTATTTGGGGCGTGGCAGCCAGACGGTTAAATCCTTTCAAAATAAAATTAGTAGCTTCATTTCTGTACACAACTAATGTTTACGTTTCATTGTCGTCCTCGTGTGAGCCATTGTTGACAACGATTTCGTAGATAAAGAAGGCTCCTGTTGGGAGTAATGTGAGTATAAAGCCAAAGCACACCTTTTGAAAAAAAAAAAAAATAAGTAGAAAAATGCTGGTATAAAAAAGTTTATTGACGAAGATAGTAAGATGTGTTGTTTTCTTTTTTTGAAACGGTTGACCTCAAAACATGTTATATCAAGAAAAAGCGAATCAAGGCATAATCGACACGCGCACGCTTTCTAATTTGTTTTTGGAACTGTTTATTTATTTTGTTAAGTAAACACAAAACGTCACATAGACATTTAAAAAAAAGGGCTTCTGGCCTGTTTCATTTTCAGTATTCGTTCCTATGGTGCGTGATTTGCTCGCTTTTCGAAGCGACGAACATGCGCGTGCTGGGCTGAAGAGATCGCGGGGCAGAGGATGCGTATATATTGGACTGGTGTATAGGGAGTATTCACGGGCGGCAATAGCTGTGTGCGCGACTACCGAGCGCGTGCTTACGACGGGCTTTCAGAGTTCTTTTGCAACGTGCATTCCACACCATCAAGATTTCCAGACTCAGCAACCTATTAATGTGAGGTCGTTCTGGAGATTCCCATCAAACGGCGTCTTCAAGTATGGCGTCCAGTAGATATAAAGACGAATGCTTGGTATACACGTTTCTCACAAGAGCGAAGGTCATCTTGAATGTCGTCACTTCTGGTATGCGGTAACACATCGCTTTGATCTCTCCACGCCACTGGAAGGTGTTCACGAAGAATACGTGATTGTTACACAGTCTTGTTTTGGCCTCACCTCTATCTTCTCGCATATTCCAAGCTGAAATGGTTTATTATTTTTTAGTTCCGGATACCATATGCGGAACCCACGTGACTGACATATATAGAAGATAGAAAACGTCTATAAAGGGGTGGAAAGTGATTAACGGCCGCTCACCGTCCTGGTTTTACATATGCACCATGTTTAACTGTTAAAATATTTTAATGGTCAACGCGTATCTATGCATGTAAAAAAAAGTTGCGGCTGCAGAAATAAAAACTTATTTAAAGAAGAAAATATATTCCCGTGTTCAACACAAATGTACCGAACTTCACTCGTAAATAGTTTGCGAAAACTTAACATAACAAACAATGAAAAGAAAGGTCATTCACACAGATGAAATGCTTTTCTTTCGCGCGTGTACCGTACCGGTACACCGGATGCGTGCGGCAGACAGCGAAATGAGACGATATCAACTAACATTCAAATAAAACGTTTGCCGGCACACTTCTATCATAGCCCTTGGGCTTGCAGGCACGAAAAATCATGTCCCATGTCAGCGAGTACGCTATATTTGGAATTCTCATTCTTGGGACACTCGGCCCTGGAGTCTTCTTCTCTCTTAGGAGAACCGGCCCCCTGAGTGTAGATGAAGTATTCTTGGGAAGCCGTAATCTGGCGTCAATACCACTGGCCCTATCCGCGTTTGCGTCTCTGTTGTCGTCGGCGAGCCTCATTGCCTTCATTGCCCACTACTACGCGTATGGAGTCCACATGGCCTGGTCTTTTATCACGGTCACGTTGTGTCTCCCCATCACTGTTCACATCATCATCCCCGTACTCTACCGACTGAAGATCACCTCCCTTTTTGAGGTAAGGCAGAACGTCAAGCACAAGTAACGCAGTTCCTTTCGTCGGAAAATTTTGTCTTTCTCTGTGAATTTAAGGTCTTAAAAAGCCCAAAAAAGCCAGGGTGGAATAAGACCTAACATTGTTTTTAGCCAGAGTATTGGTATATTTGCCCTAATCTGCCAAACCATGTGCCAACGTTACGCTTTACTGCTGACAATATATGTCTGTCATCTGGCATTCTTGGGGCTAAATCGCCCAAAAAGATGAATGAGTGAATGGGCCTATAATGCCAAACAAAAAGATGAATGGGCCTATAATGCCAAACAAGTACCCCATGTATGCTTCATTTCTATTTCTTTGGTTCATACGTGGAAATTTTGGCTCAATCTGGGACCCTAGCAATTATGTCGCGAGTTAACACAAGCCACAGACACACACACACACACAAAAAAAATCTCTCTGGCAATAACTAAACTCTAAAGCAAAACGGCATAAGCGCCCAAGTTGGGCGCCTGGGTTTGCCGACCTCGTGCCAAGTTGGACGTTTCTCTGACGTGCTACCTGGGACATTCAGTTATTTCTGTACGAAATCCACAATGCTCTTCATTTTCAATACGAACGTGGAGAGTCTGTTAGGTATCCTTTGAAGGAAGCCGACGCCAAAGTTCCGGACACGTTTTCGATCATATTTCGAAAAGTGAGCAGTCTAGTAAGATATAATGCGTTTTAGATGACGGCCTTGTGGTGACCTGCTAGAATCTAATGCTTGTCAAATTCGGGGTCTTTGTTATAGAAAATAAATTCAACCAATTCCTCATCTAATACTTCGTTTATTCTAGGTAATTAGTTCTAAAATAATTGAAATGTGTATGTTCATACTTAATCGTGATTAAAAAAATGAAAAAATGTTTACCATTCCCGTGTAACGCCGAATTAGAGCGCACCTTTTGAGGGGAAGGAGGGGGGGATACGAAAAGAAGGGTATGCCCCTCCTCCACATTCGTACCCTCCCATCTTTCACTAATGCGCCCCTCCCGCTTTGCGGGAAATTGTCGTTAAATTTCCCACTAAATTAGCGAAAACATTTCCTGCTAAATTTAGCGCGGAATTTTTTTTTTTTGCTAAATTTGGTGGCGAATGTTTTTTCGCCAAATGTAGCGGGAAAAGTTTTCCGCTAGATTTAGCGGGACATTTTTTTCGCTAAATCAAGTAGGGAAATTTTTAAACTAGATTTAGTGGGGAAATTTAGCCAAAATTCAGCGCACCGTGACGCCATGAGTGACGTCCCTCGTGACTCTCGTGACGTCACACGTGACGTCACGTGTGACGTCATTATGGGAAACAGCCCATAATGCAACGAGCCGTTACGCCGACGGCGACGCCGACTCCGAAACCGCTCAAGCCGGAACCGGGCGCTTCTGAGGCGCGCTCTAAAACGAATAGGATAATAAAGATTAAAGGGATACTTCAATGAAATTTGAAATATTCCCGTCGTGTTCAAAAATAGGTTGAATATGATCCACAATATCCGTAATTTACAATCGCACGTTTGTTTTTCGAGCCTGGTGGCTGTATTTTTCGTTATAAACGGCCCACTCTGGCAAGCGCTCGGAGAAGGCCCAGCGGAGACCACGTGTCATCCAACGCAATTGTGACGTAGGTCGTCTCAGGACGAGCAAAGCTACGGCGAGGCTGACGTTGAGAGGATGGCGTAATCGTTCCAGCCACCGAAGCGGCTTCTTTTGTACGAGTTTTGAGTGGCGGGTTCATCTTCTGTAATCTTGTAGGGGGACAATGGCGACTTCTGCGACACACAAAAGGCATTCTCGGGAAGAGAGGAGTTCCTCCTGCCCCTCTCCTCTCGTCGTCCCGGAGGCGAGACAACCTCCGTTACTAGCTGTCAAGGTTCCTAGACGACCATTACAAGCGAGGCGTTAGCGACATCACCAGGTGTTCTTTGCTAATCGTTTAATTCGTTTTAGAATTCCTTTTCGTGGCTTTTTTAACAAGCTATTGGTATGTTCGATGTGATGCTGCTCCTTTGAACATATATAGACCAAATAATGAGCGCCTAAATTTCGTTGTGGTATCCCTTTAAAGGGTGCAGTTCTTGACATTTCGTTATGAAATCTATAGCTACAACTTATTCACATGTGCGGAAATTATCAAGCAGTACAGTCTAGAAACGTTCTGCGGCTGTGTTAAGAATAGATGACTGTCTTATCAAATATATAAAAAAAAATATTTAATTTAGCTTGTGTCGAACATTTGTGGATAGCATAGAAGGAAATGCAACATCTGTCAAACGCATTATTTTTGTTTAAATAACGCATCTAGCTGAATAAACATGAATTTTATTGAGAACTAGAGCAACGTTCTTTTTGATCAACAAACCACATTTCACAAGAGAAATATCCGGGTCCAGCAACGTCAGAAAACACTAATGGGACACACCTTAGATCCCAGAGAGTTGTGAACTTTACACCAATATATCTTGCTCTGTGCTACAAAGAGCGTACAATAAGGTGTCGCCAGTCAAAGCTAAGATTTTCGCAAAAACAAAAGTAAAAAAAAAAGTAATTCTTTTCAGCACTAATGTCATCAGCGATTATCATGTACACTTCTTCTCATGCACAACTGTACAGTTTTAGTGGCCGCGGTTGCTGCAAAAGCAATTGAGCATTATTGGCGAGGAGATTGAACTACGGGGGGGCGCAGTTTCATTATCTTTATTATCACCACGAACAATCGCTGTGTCAAACAACTCCGACGCTAGCACTCGCCTAGCGTTCGACGCATCGTTTCCCCGCCCGCTGAACATTTGTTTCTAGCGATATGGTGCGCACTTGCTGCGTACCACAATGCTCAAAGACAGCTTTCGAACCGGGTATTTTGCTAGGCGCGTCGCAGAGAGAGAGCGTGCATAACCGAATGGTTACCACGCTTGACTTTTACGCGGAAGATCTGCGTTCGATTCCAGGTAGCGGAATGTTCTTTTATTTATTCGTTCTACTTTTCGTTCTCGCAAGTTCGAGAACTTTCTCGTCTCATCGAGTTACGAATGTTCTACGCGCCGAACGTTCTAGGCCGAATGTTCCAGAAACCCACGCCGGTACAAAAGGTGCTCCGCGTGGCAAGCCGGGGTCAGCCTTGACCAGTGTTCGATCCTGCTGTTACGCCAACTTTGACGCCCACGACGCTCTGCTGTTATCTTCTATCCCATTCTTGGTTCGGCCACACGTTTGCCCCATTAAACATTTATTTATGCCGTTTATTTATTTTTCGTTTCGTCACCACCTGTGACATTCTGGTGGAGGTGCGGGGTACCGCATGTCCCGCAGCGTACCCCTCCGAGGCACCACTGGCAAGTCTGTCAGCAAGCCCACGACAACCCGACGAAGAAACTATTAGGAAGTCGCCGCACCTAAGGCCTACACGCGGAATTCGGTCTTTTGCCACCCAGGATCAAGCAGCCAACGAGGCCGACAATGGACAACCAGTTTTCGCCGACTCCGACCGCCGCCTCTGCCGTTGTCTACCTACCCGTCACACCAAGGACTCGGACGCTTTTCCACGGGGAAGTCCACGAGGACATCGAGGGTTGGCTGCAAAACTATAAACCTGTGGCCCGCCATAACGGGTGGCCAGCTGAGTACTGCTTGCAGAACACCCACTTCTCTCTAGAAGGAACTGCGAGGCACTGGATGGAAAACCACGAGGCTTCTATGACGGCGTGGGAGGTGTGCACGCAAGAACTGAGGAAGGCGTTTGCCTGCCAACCCGGACGTGAGAGGGCTGAAGATGTGCCCTGAACAAGAGCCCAAACCCTAAACGAGAACACCACCACCTTCGTCGAGGATGTTCTCCGCATGAGCGCCCAAGCCGATCCTCAGGTTACCGAGAAGAAGAAGCTGCCCCACCTGGCGAGTGGTATGAAACGCGAGATATTTGGCGGACTCATCGGCAATCTCCCGACAACTGTCAATGGGTTCGCCACGGAGGCGACCAATATGAAACGTGCTCTACTAGTACGCGCCAGACACTACCAGGGACTTCCCAGGGCGTCGGTGCCTTTTCGACTTCCGGGTGCAACACCACGGACATCCTCGAGATCATGCGGGACGTCGTCCGGGAGAAAATTAAGAAGCTTCTACAAGCTTCTACGACGTCGTGCGGGAGAAAATTAAGAAGCCTCTGCGTAGGCTTAGCGTCTTTGTCTGCCATGGCGGGCGTTGCAGGATGCGCCACGTCGACGGCTCACTCGCTGCGTCGCTCCTCCGGGACGGATCCCATTCCTGACACCATGTCTCGCAGGGAAGGAGCGACCAGCCACACCGGATTCTGGAACCCAAGTGTTTTATTATCACTTTTCTCGAACTGAAGATAACCCCGAGCATGCGCACTAGCATGGACCGAAGTACGCGTCGCCGCGGGGCACGCGAGTGAAAACTGTCGTGTCAGCACTACGCAGAAGCAAGTTCATGAGATGCTGAGCGACGACATAATCCAACCTTCGAGCCGTTCATGGGCCTCTCCAGTCCTACTGGTTAAGAAGAACGGAACACTTAGGTTCTGCGTCGACTACCGGCAGCTGAACGCGGTGGCAAAGAAAGGCGTCTATCCACTCCCCCCCCCCCCCCCCTTTCCATCGACGACACGTTAGACCGGCTGCGCCACTCTCAATACTATCATCGATGGACGTGAAGAGCGGCTACTGGCAGTTCAAAGTCGAGGAACGGGAGCGGGAGAAGACAGCTTTCGTCACGCCGGATAGGTTATACGAGTTAAAGGTGATGTTTTCCGACTATGCATGGCGCCAGTAACTTTCCAGCCTGTCATGGAGACCGTACTGGCAAGACTGAAGTGGCAGAGCTGTGTCTTCTACCTCGGCGACGTCGAAAGGGTTGCCGGCGACTTTGACGAGCACTTGCGACGACCCCCAGCTGTTCTCCAAGCTATGCGAACCGCCGGACTCACCCTCAAGCCGTCAACCTGTCGGTTCGCCTACGACAAACTGATGTTCCTAGGCCACGTGGTTAGTAACGAAGGCCTTTGCCCAGACCCAGAGGAGACTCACGCCGTCGCGGCATTTCCAGAGCTGACAGACAAGAAGGCCGCGCGAAGAATTGCTTGGCTTATGTCCCTACCATAGGAGCTTCATTCGAAATTTCGCAAGGATTTCTGCACCGCTTACAAACCTCACGAAGGACGCCGAGAAGTTCGAATGGGCGGAGGAGTAGCAGCAGGCGTTCGACGAGCTGGAGCTACGACTCCTAACTTCTCCTGTTCTTGGACACTTCGATTAGGATGCGAAAACCGAGATTCACACGGACGCAAGTAATGAAGGCTTTGGAGCGGTACTGGTTCAAGTGCAAAAAGGCACCAAGCGAGTCATCGCCTACGCAGGTCGGACACTGTGCAAGGCGGAAAGAAATTACTCCACGACTGAAAAATAATGTATTGTGGTCGTCTGGGAAACTACGAAGTTTCGACCGTACCTGTATGGGAGCCCGTTCCGCGTAGTCACGGATTACCACTTGCTCTGCTGGCTTGCGAACCTCAAGCACCTTTTAGGACGCCTCGCTGGAAGAAGTCTTCGACTACAGGAGTTCAACATGACCGTGGTTTACAAGTCAGGCCGCAAGCACAGCGACGTCGACTACCTATCCAGAGCCCCTTTGGAGAGTCCTCCCGAGAGCAGTGACGGCGATGACGACAAGTGCTTCCTAGGCGCACTGAACACGCAGTTTTCACGGCGCGATAAATGTCAGCGACTAGGCAGCACTTCAAGGAGCCGATCCCGATCTGCGCGCACTAATAGAGCTCCTGAAAGGGCGCGGGAGTACCATACCACGTGGTTGCTCATGAGCCCTGCCAACCTTCGTCATTCGACAAGGTGTACTCTTTAAAGAGAACATCGGAGACAACTCGCCTTGGCTGCTGGCGGTCCCGATCGACTTTCGAGAGATTCTTTAAGCCTGCCACGACGCTTCGAACGCCGGACACCTTCGTTACAGTCACACGCTGGCTCGTATTCGTAAAAAGTGTTACAGGCCCAAGCTCTTAAACACCGTTCACCTATATACTTGATCTTGCCATAACTGCCAGCGACGCAAGAAATTTCCGACGAGGTCTGCTGGTCTACTGCAGCCAATTCCTGCGTTAAGTGCACCCTTCCAGCAGATCAAAATGATCTACTTGGCCATTTTCCACCGTCAACGTCAGAAAACCGCTGTAATATCGTCGCCTCAGATTATCTGACACGGTACGCCTAAACGAAAGCCCTTCCTTCACGAACTATTGTGGAAGTCGCCAAGTATTTCATTGAGTCCTTCGTCCTGCCGCACGGCGCTCCCGAAGTTCTCGTTAAAGGCCGTGGATCATCGTTCATGGCTCAGCTGACACAAGAAATCCTTCGACTCTGTAGCAGCCGCCAATGTCGAACCATTGAGTACCATACGCAGACGAATGGACTAACGGAAAGGCTAAATAAAATTATTGCCGTCATGATCTCCATGTATGTCGACGTAGAGCACGACACGTGGGACAAGGTATTACCTAACGTGACGTTTGCTTACAAAACGATGGTGCAAGAGACCACAGGAGTAACACCGTCTCAACTGGTACATGGCGGTAAAGTAACGACCACGTAACATATTACCTGCCTCATGGCAGCTTGTGAGCAGCGATGTGGGCATTGGCCACCGTTGGCTCTGGTGCAACGCTGCACTCGATGACATGATCGTAGTTGAGCGCGTCCTCTCCTTCTACGAGACACCGCTTGCCTTCCCTGATGTCTTCCAAGATTGTCGCAAGAGACAGGGTAACTTAAAATGAAGTGCGTGTTTTCTGAATCATTAAGATAAACAAATTCGGCAGAGACACTTAAGATTGCTTGCGTGCAGACTGCTTACCTGTAAGAATGCGAAAGGATTCCTTCATGCAGTGCATTCTTACAAACAGCGTGCCGCATCTTCCTTTTTTCACACGGCGCTCCGGCGGTGACATCACGCTCCCCACTGCGCAGGCCCGGAGAACACCGCCGGCTCCACGGCTTCCGTAACGATGCATCTGTGTTGCTGTAATTTTCTTTGTGTTCTACTTATAAGGCGCGTCCGCTTTGTTCTTGAGCACGTTGCCGACTTTCGTGACGAAACATCTGCGTTGCTGTGCTTTTGGCCAATGGGAATTGAGTCGGTCTTACGCTGCGGACGGTTACAGACAACGCCGCGGCTTCGCTCCATGGGACAGTAAATGCTTTCGCATCAACAGAGACGCCACGGCGGCCACATACGATCCAGCGCGCGCGGCCGATGCGACACGGCTGGCACGGCACGCCGACGCGTTACGGCACTTGGGCTTGTTTTGCCTTCCAATATGACTTCGAAGACATTCAACGCAAGAGGGGACTAGATGACTCCTATTTGCGTCGTCTTTCATGGCAGCGAATGTAGCAATAATTGCGGTTGGAGCGTTTGTTTGCCACGCAGCGTTAGTTCTCAAGGTGGCTGCTAGGGAGCGCCACTCCTTGATCTCTTTCCTAACAGGCAATCGGTTCTTGTGCTAAGAACTCAAGCAACGTAAATCGACTTCGATCAATTGTTCTGTGGTGACCTCACGCGACGGTGCCTTCAGGCAAGCGGCCGTGCGCGCCCGGGCCAGCCGGGCCTCCCAGCAAGCAGCCAACTGCAGACGGAGCGCGCACCCTCCGGCGCGCGTGATGTAAACAGAGAGCGAGCTCGCAGGTCGAGCCCCAGGGCTCCGGCGAGCTCGACCAACGAGGAGGAGGATACAGGAGAAGGATGGGAGGAGGAGGAGAGGAGGACGGGAGTAGGAGAAGAGGCGAGGAGGAGGAAGAAGGAAAAAGAGGAGGGAGGAGGGAGAGAGGAGGATGATCACGAAAGAAGTAGAGGAGGAGGAGAGGGAGAGGAGGAGGACGGAAGGGGAAGAAACGAGGGAGAGGAATAGGGGAGGAGTAGGAGGAGAGGGCACGAGTATAGAAGTTGAAGGAGCAGGGGAGAGGAGGAGTAGGAGGGGAGGAGGAGTAGGAGAGGAAGGAAGAACGAGGAGGAAATGACGGGAGGGCGAGGAGTCGAGGACGACGGGAGGATTATGGGGTACGGAGGAGAAGGAGGAGGGGCATTCCTTTCCTTTCGTACCCTCCTCTCCTCCTCCTCGAGAGCTGCGCTCTAATTTCGCGTTACAGAGATTTGTAAACGTCTTTAATTTTTTTCGTGTTCAGCTAAGACCACGTATTAACAGTTGGTATTCCCATTTGTTTGTAAAAGCTCGCGTGTCACAAGAAAGCACCTAGACAAGTAAAACCAACTGAAAAAGATGACACTTTTCTCTGTTTCTCAAGAAAACTTTTTTTCCAATTTTACATTAAGGTATGGTTTAGAGGGAAAAAAAGAAGAAAGAAACACGTCTGTAGATATAAGAAATAGACACGGCCGGGTTTTTTATACGGCTTTCCCGTCGCAGTGTTGTGCCAGAAATGCAACAAGAGATATTTTCGCACACTCACAAGCAATCTTAAACGTCGGTGCCCTCCTTTTGCACACAGTGGTGCTCCGTAGTTTTGTTCTTTCCAACTGCAAACGCAACATATGTAGTGAAATAATATGCAGTCAATTTGCAGTTTCATTGGTACAGTCGCCGGCCATATGAGCTCCCCCGGCCGAACGCCGACCGGAGCAGCGAAAATCCCGCATGCGGCGCGTCGAGCGTTGCCGCGTTCTGGGGGCCAGGCTATTGAGACCAAACCATTCCGTCATCAAAGGGGTGGACGCAGGAATTAATAGCATTCCGCGTTTTGGAACGTAAATCTGAAGCACGGCCGATTACAATCCCGCTTCCGGTTGTAGGTAAACGCAAACGGCTTATCGAAATTTTTCATTGCCTAACATCTCTGACGTTGTATGCTACTTTTTTATTTGAAAAACCGGTTTGTCATTTTAAATATCTTCTACCCGAAGAGTAATCCTACGCACAAGCCCCCTTTCTTGCAACCGTTCTTAAACCAAGATTAAACAGTGACAAGCGTCTTTGAAATAACTTATTTAATCTATAAGGATATGCAATAGACAACAACAAAAAAGATTTATATCGAAGCTGAATAAAGATTCAGGAACTTTTCATGGACGCGTTTTATCGAGGAGACTCTATTGTTATGCGTTCAGTAGCGTGCTGCTTCGCCAAGGGTAATTCTCTTCTCGATGACTTTGCAGATGGCTTCCTGGTCGGCCACTTCTCGCTTGCCGAGGGATGCTGATTGTCATGCCTATTATCATATCAAACATAGGGTTTCTAGATTTGTAAACATCGATCGAACACTGCTGCTTTATCTATACGCCTGAAGCAAGCTCCAGTTTATCAGCAGTTATAACACCATCTCCGAAAACTTAGGGCTGAAACCCGAAAACGGAAATTCTGATCGGCCATGTTTTTTTTTATTCACACTTCTAAAGGCTGGAATCCCGATAAATGCTATGAGTCCACCCCTTTGATAAAGGAATGGTTTGGTCCCAATACCCCGGCTCCCAAAGTGCGGCAACGCTCGACGCGCCGCGTGCGGGATTTTCGCTGATCCGGTCGGCGTTCGGCCGGGGGAGCTCATTTGGCCGGCGACTGTACTTATTTACAAAATGTATTATGTTACTCTAAAAAGAAGATATACAGTGATTGAGGAGTACTACACCACCGACTGCATAAATGAAGGCACAGCCAGCAATATTTCTGAATAATACTTCATGTCACTGCCGTCAAAGTAAGTATGAGTAAGAGTGATGTGTCCTTTTTCTACAGTACCTGCGTGCTCGATATGGAAGGAAAATCTCACTGACAGCCTGCGCAATTTACTTCATTATAACGGTATGACACAAAAACTATCCTACAAAATTTTCATTTTTCGTTTGTACAAAGGTTGATATTGAAGGTATCATAAACCGAGAATTTTTACTGATGCCAGAATTTTGCACTTTCTGAACATTTCTGCCCAATCAGCTCATTAGGGGAAGATGTTGCTCGGAGACAATTTTATTTTAATTTGCTCTAATATAACAACACTGTAGCTACTTACAAGGTTTTGCCTTTCTTTTAAATCCAATATTGAATTTAATTTAGCTTGTATTTGAAGGAGAACCGCGCTATGGAGGAATGAGGTTATTTAAACGAAAACAGAGTTTTCTCCGCCTGTAAAACGGACTACTACTAGGAAAGTTGTTATATATCTTTAGAGCGGCGAATATATGACGAGAGTAGCTCCTCGAATATGTCTTCGGAAACCATGGAAGTAAACACAAAATGAATTACTGCAGTTCTACCCACTGTTACATTAAGAAAATATTGGGGGTCACCTACCATTCAGTTGAATGTAAGACATCCCTGTCGTAGTCTGATCGGTAAAGAAAGTCACAGTGGCGTTCATTGCTCGCTCGCCAGAACAACTCGTACAAGGAAACGGCGTTCCTGACAACGTTGTTTGAATTAAAGAATTTAATTAAATATTTTTCAGCAAAGCCTCGGAGCGGTGGTCATATTTTCAGCTGCAATGGCAGTCGCAACAAGTGAGTTACTTTGTTGCAGCTTTGTTGAATGTATGGTTGCCAGCAATACCCCAGTATGAACGTTTGTTTATGCAGTATTTCAGGTGTCATTCCTGTGTTGCTGCTTTGCCATCGGATTTACGGGCACCTTGTACACTGCACTGGTATGTTTCATGCCTTATCAAAATAAGTACTTCAAGAAAGAGGACCGATTAAATAGTTTATTTTAACTTTTACTGAAGCCAATTAATCAGACGTGATATGTTTTTGAAGATCAACAATAATACAGGTCATCTTGTATTACGCATAATAGTTACCGTTGGCTAACGCCCTCAATGTTTGGAACGATCCCGCAAATAAAAAAGTTGTAAGTGTTTATAATGTTTTATAGTTGTAACGTATTATCGTCATAACGTATTATAGTTATAACGTTTCTTTTTTTTTTTTAAGGCTGCAAGTTTTTTTACTTGGCTTATTCTAGGGTAATGAATATCCTCGTTCTTTGTACTGCTCATTGCCTGTTACAGGCCGCCCGATCTTCTTGGATTCCCATCCTTTCTTGAGAAAAGTTTGGAATCACTCGCGCAGATGTATCCCACAGACGTATTTATACTCACTGGAGACTTTAACTACCCTGAAATCCCTTGGCCTGTTGTACCTGCTCGCATGCCGTTTGACTCGTGGCGCTGCCTTCCCGCTCAGGCCCGAGGTTTTGTTGATTTGTGCAGTCCGTACTCACTGTCCCAAATGATTAATGAACCAACTCGCGCTTCTGCAATTCTCGACGTCTTTCTTACTACCAACCCTGAGTGTGTCACAGCTGTCGAACTCCTAGAGCCTCTTAGTGATCACTCTTCTATTCACGTTCAACTGTGAATACCCACCAGTAAGTCATGCCCTTTAACTAAGACTGTGTTCAGCTATCCACGAGCCGACCAGAATGCTCTCCTCCTGCATCTATCCCGTTTCAGGCATACCTTCCTGGATGGCTTGCAGTATAGAAATGTTGACGAAAATTGGACCCTGGTCAGGAGCGCGTTAATGGAAGCCTTGCATACATTTGTTCCCAGAGTTCATATCAGGTCATGTACTGAACGACCTTGGTTCGCCGTCAGTCTCAAACGGCTCCTGAGCAAAAAGCAAAGGCTCTACAGCCGCGCAAAACAAATTAGAACCCAATCAGCGTGGTCTAAATACCGAGAATGCGCTTCGAGATGTAAATACGAAATTAAGAAGGCTGAGCACAAGTTCTTTAATATCGACCTCTTTAATTTACTGAAAACAAACCCCAAAAATTCTGGTCAACTATAAAATCTAAGCAAATTAGACCATCCCCCCAGATATTTGACTCAGACGGAAATGAACTCTCGGAAAGAGAAAGCTGCGAGAGCCTCAACTCTTATTTAGGCGACGTCTTCACTGAAGAGTCTTTTCCATTACCCGACCATATCCCTCAATATACAACCGTAGCCAGTATGTACTCTATTTCCATTACCCTGCCTGGCATCGAGAAACTGATCGACAGCCTTCCCAATAATTCTGCCCCAGGCCCGGACGATATATCAACTAAACTGCTCAAATTAACCAAATCAGTTTTTAGTACTCTTTTATGTAGAATATTCCAACAGTCTATTGACTCCGGTGACATACCCCTTGACTGGAGGCATGCTAGGGTTTGCCCAATATATAAAAGCGGTGACAAAGACTGCCCCAGCAATTATAGGCCTATTTCTCTCACTTGTGTTGCAAGTAAGTTGATGGAGCATATCAATACACAAATATTATGAACTACATGGCTGATAATGGTCTACTTTTTGTAAACCAGCACGGTTTCCGGCGGTCTCTGTCCTGTGATACCCAACTTTTCGAATTCGTAAGAGACATTCATAAAAACCTACATCTTCGTGCAGAAACGCATGCTATTTTTATAGATTTCTCCAAAGCGTGCGACAAGGTTCCTCACCAACGTTTATTATTAAAACTACGATCGCTTCAAATTGATGAAACTCTGATTAATTGAATAGCTAACTTCCTCTCAAACCGAACACAATATGTCACCCTTAACAATAGTTGCTCTTCATCTATAGTGGTCACATCTGGAGTACCTCAGGGAACCGTGCTGTGTCCTTTGTTATTTCTCATTTATGTGAATGATTTACCTTCGCTAATTAAGTCTTCAATTAGGTTATATGCTGACAACTGTGTTGTGTATTCTAAAGTAACCAATCGCTCTGACTGTGCAGAGCTTCAAGCTGATCTATGTGCTATTGAATCTTGGTGTGAAAGGTGGCAGATGCAAATCAATGTAAATAAAACCAAACAAATGACCTTTACTACGAAACATAACACAATAAACTTTCAATACTCCCTTTCCGGTAATACAATAGAAAATGTACCAATTTACAAGTACCTCGGTGTTAACTTAACAAGCAATCTCTCATGGGAAAATCATATAACCTATATTATTAGCAAAGCTAATCAGGCTCTCGGCTTTCTGCGACGCAATCTCTCCCTTGCCTCCAAGGAAACTAAATTATTAGCATACACCTCACTTGTCCGTCCCCAGTTAGAGTACGCCTCATCTGTCTGGAATCCCCATCAGTTAATTTTAGAATATATGTTAGAAGCAGTCCAAAACCGCGCAGCACGGTTTATTCATCGAAATTATACCTTCCCTACTAGTATCACCACTCTTAAAGCTCAACTTGGTCTTCCTTCTCTCAAAACGCGTAGGACGGTATCCGCCTTAACTATTCTTCATAATTTTTACTACCATCTTCCTTTCCAGAAAACTTTGTACTGTATACCCGCTCCTCATATCTCCCGTCGCTTAGATAATTCCTGCGAACTATTTTTATCCGCTCTGAGGACCAATACCTTTAAATTTTTTCCCCTGCAGCTTTCCGTTACCAATTGGAATAAACTGCCAGATCCAATAGTAATCATATCGGACAGTTCAAAATTTAGAGAAGCACTTGCCACCTTTTACGGCGCGTAACTGACGTTTTTGCTATCTTTTGTTTGTTTTTCTTGTTTGTACCGGTGTACTTAAATCTTAGAAATACTGCCCGTTCCCTTATGTAAAGCCCCACGTGGGCATTTAAGGGATAAATAAATGAAAAAATGAAAAATGAAAATCAAAAGTATATTTCAGATTAATTGCCAAGTAGACACAACAGAGCTTCAAATCAGTGCTGAAGCCCCCCCCCCCCCCCCCCTCCAACACACAAACACACACACACTTCCCTTCGCGTTCGATGGCAGGAGCGCATCATGCTATATTATAAAGATAATTCAACACTTGCGCGCCTTCCGCAAGCCTCACCCGAGCAGACAAGAGCGCTTCTCGCATTCGCTTGCAAGCCGCTAGTGCAAGGCAATTGAAAACTCTGGGTATGACGTTGCACTCAGAGGTTGGCTTTTTCGGTTTTATTTCATTGATTGATACCTTCGGGTAAATTGTTCGTGATAGTGAAATTCACAGGACACAAATTCCTTAGAATTGGTCTCTGACTCGATTTTTTCGATAATGTTTTCAGACTTGACAGCTTAGAGCATGCTGGTGAAGTTACAGGGATAAAATAATGCAACAAGAGTAGCGAAGAGGACGGTTGCCACTCTCAATGTTTAGAACGCTGCCGTTCATGTAGCTTTTCTTTATCCCCGTAACTGTTCAGATTCCCTTTATTATAAGAATTTACAGCTAAATCAAATCTGTACTGTTGAAACAATCTGTAATCATGAACTTGGCACTAGAAAGAGTGAGGTCTAGCATGTCTTGGAGCATAAAGCTACGCAAGTTTATATTGCGTTGCTGCTATTACGCAATATTCTTGTGGTTCTCGTAGAAAATCTATTGCCACTAGTATCGTACCCTACTGCATATTTTAAAAAGTGTTTCATTGCTCGTCTATTGGAACCATGCGTCTCAGGCTTTTAATATGTTCATCTTATTTGTTTCTGGTATCTTTAGTTTCACGTTCCAATCGGGCACAGTTGGTAAAAAAATGTCAGCAAAACATCAAGCAAACCAAGTTAAAATAATGCACAGCTTTCGTGTCGCAAAACGCTACCAAATCAGACTGAGAAGCAAAGTATTAATAGATTTGTTACCTAATTTAGTTCGTTCTGACAAAATACAACACACCCCCAGACCAGAAGATAAATATCTCTAACGAAGCCGAAAGTATAAGAGAGGCAGTGCTTCTGATGTCTTTTTTTCTTTTTCGTGGTTCGCAGTGCAATTGAAATTTAATGCTTGATTTCAGTCTTCATTGAGGAACTGCTTCAAACGTTTTACCAAGTAGCACGATTACTTAGTAAAAACTAAGAAAACATGCCAGCTTTTTCTTATTGCGAAATGAAAAGGTAGGAAAATTACTTTCACGTTGTGCATACCTTCATTGTGTGAAATATACTTTATTACGTGTGAATCACCGTTCTGGATAACTTATAAAGTGTCTGAATTGTTGGTATTTTTTCGTTGTCATCTTGCATTGGCACTACTTTAATTCGAGAATTACAATAATAATTATATATGTAATCTGTTGCATACCCACTTACCTTCTACTTGCAGGGAGGCTTGAGAGCCGTAGTGTGGACGGATTGCGTGCAGGCCATGATCATGATAGTCGCACCTATCACGATAATTGTGAAGATCACATACGACTCCCACTCCGGTCATTTCAAGCTTCGTCCTTTGAGTGATATCAATCTACGACCATACGTTCTTGAGTAAGGTGCTCTATTTCGAGTAGAAAATACATTACAGTGACACTAAGTACCTTAGTCCAATCCTACACCGTTGTTACTATGCCAATATTGTCATTTACATTCTATTGAAAACGTCTCGAAGGAAAATCTTTAATATATTATTAATACAAATATGTGAAAGCAAACCCCCAAAATTATTTTTGTGATTAATGACCGTAAGGTAATCTACAAATGTATTTAATTTACGTTTCACTATAAACATAACTCTAAATTTTGCTTTTATTCAACCTTTATGGCTCGTACCAATGAAGAAATCTCATTTGCTTTTACGGTGCATAATGAGGAGTAGCGGCAGGCCGGGTTGTTTCATGTTCTCCGCTACCTCAGGTCTTGTAGCCGCAGTTGTCGTTCCGGCAGAAGAAGCTGGCGTTGTGATCGCCCTTTCCAGAACTATCGTAGGCAAGGGCAGTGCTAACCCAGGATGTAGTCGAGCTCCAATCTAATTTATAGTTACTCTAATATATATATAACTTAAAGTAATTTGATTTGAATTGGTGCTGTACCACTTTCTGTAATAGCGCCGCCCTTGCCGCGATAGTACGGGAAAATGGCGATTCGGACAGAGAATCTGTGTATAGGCTGAGTATCATGCGAAAAGCGTTATGCTCGAGTGGGAGAAAAAAAACTAAACATACGGGCCAAAACACCATAATGAATGACATAGCTAGTCCATAGCAGGCAACGCATAAGCATTGAGAAATGATTGAATGAGAATGATTTAAAAATATGTAATCATAATTAAGCGCAATTCATTGCAGCGCGCAATGTACCACTCGGCTAAGCGGAAATCAAACCCTAGTATGTGTGATTCGTATCCCCACCCCACTCGAAAGATCAGTTCAAACTGGTACCAGTTTTAAACTCGATTATTGCTCCAGTTTGACCACTTTCATAATGGTGGAACTGGTCAAGGTGGTCCGAACTGGTCACACTGGTTGACTTGTCATGGCGGCTGAACTGGTCATGATGGCTGAACTGGTCATGATGGTTGAACTGGTCACACTGGTTGACTTGTCACGCTGGTTCGACAAAAATATGCTCTGTTTATTTGTTCACGCCACCACTGTGCTTCGTAAATCTTTATTGTACACAAATGTAGACACAATACGCCCACTACAAGCATCAACTGAACATACACTGAGCGCATAAACATACACGGCACATACAAACATCAATAAAACCGAACATTAACCCGATCACTACTTCCGAGTTTTGCGTTTCCGTATTTTATACTGGTCGTTTTGAACGTACGTAATTTCTCGGTGACCGCCTAAGCGATCAAAAATATTGCCAGCATGTCGATTTTTTTCCAACAATGTCATACCTTGAGTACTTTGAACGGCTTAGGGGATCAATCTCTCAGTAAAAATTACACCATCTTCCCGAGGGGAACCATGGTATGATGCGGAGCATCGCGGATCGTTATTAACGGTGTTAGTAACGTTTTTAACTTGCGTGTTATTACGTTGTTAACTTGTGTTGGTTATCACACATTGCGTGAACGTTGTTGGAAACTGCGCGATGCTCCGCATCACCCCCTGGCTCCCTTCGAGAAGATGGTGTATTTTTTTAACGTGCACCACGCAGTAGTGATCACTACTGTGAAACGGTACGAAACTCATCCAGATCAAAACGGGCGGGGGCGGCGGGGATCGAACCCAGGAGGTTCCCAGCGCAAGCTTTTGCTTCACGCTCCGAGCTGAGACGCGTTAGCCCACTCGGCCACTTCCTCCCCTTGAACGCGCGCAGCGCGCTACCGCTGCTTATATTCACACTTGAAGGAGAGGAGACTAGAGGAGGAGAGTTGCGCATGCGCGCGCGGTGTGAGTAGGAGCGAACGCACGCGAAGTGCACGCAGCTGGTAGAGAGAGAGAGCGGAGAGAGTAACGCGCAGCTGTTGGAGAGAGGGAAGGAGGAGAGTTGCGCATGCGTAGTGTGAGTGCGGACAACGACGCCCGAGCAAGAGATGCTCCGCATCTAAAAGTAAACGCTCGGTCATGCCGTAATTATTTGAAAGCCAATAAATCAAAGTGAGAAAGCTAATAAAAAGTGAGAAAAAGGGGTCAAACTGGTAATCAGTCGGACCAGTTCGTCCAATCTGGTGACCAGTTTGGTCAACTGGTTACCAGTTGGACCAGTTCGGCCAGTCTTGTGACCAGTTCGGCGTCTGGGGACCACTTCGGCCAATCTGCTGACCCGTTCGGCCAATCTACTGACCAGTTCGGCCAATCTGATGACCAGGTCGGCCAATTTGGTGACCAGTTCGGCCAATCTGGTGACCAGTTAGGCTAATATGGTGAAGTCAGGCCAATTTGGTGACCAGTCAGAAGGCAATCTGGTGACCATTTAGATCAATATGGTTACCAGTTATACCAGCCTGGCTACCAGTTGCACCAGTTTAATTTCGTCTTAGACCAGTATGACCAGTCCAAATACCAGTTTGACCAGTCCAAATACCGGTTTTCAAACTGGTCTTTCCGATAGGGCATGCCTTCGCTCGCCGCCAAGAGAGGAGGTTGAAAGGAAGCGTAAACAGCAGGACCAACTATGATTTACGGGAGTTTGTGTTAGTTGGTTATGGACAATTTCAACGATAAATTGATCATGTGACGGCATGTCCGCGCACCGTCCGTCGCCCAAGCGCGTTCGCACGGGTGAGACGACGATCAGTATGGGTCGAACCTATTTGATCTGTTCACGAACCCACGGCTGCAAAACGCCAACATCTCACCATTGTCAAAGACCGAAAGCGATGTTTGCCTTAACGTTCGTAGAAAATTAATCGTTGTGTACCGCTGCTACATACCGAGTGAGACAGAAAACCATAAAGGGCTTGGGCGAAGACCCATTAACATTACTAAACTCAGGTATGACACAAGCATGACCCTGCTCAAGGAGGCTTTGGCGTAGAAGTGACGAAGTCCTGGGCTCGTAGAGGGGCGTTTGTAGATGCATGCATGCACCGCGCGCTCGCACACAACACGAAAGTACACCACACTTGCTAGGAAGGTCTTGCTGGTTCAAGAGCTGGAACACGTGCAGAAAATATCCTGGAGCTGAAAACCTGCGGTGCCTCAGCCGAGCAAAGTTCCTGCTGCTTCTTTCACACGTCGAACCAAGAATCTCGAGACAAAACTAACCAGCGAACGGATAAAACAAAATGATATGCCATCCTTGATTTACCGCCCCAAAAATAAAACAGAACAGAAAAAAAGCCGAACTAGCTGCTGCCGCTACGAGCAAGAGCGACGGCACGCGATCCAAGACTTCAAATACGGAGAGATACACAGCACCCCTTGTGGAGCGTCTGGAAATGCATCCAGGGTTGATAAAAGAGTATCGACATAAAATAGTATTTTGGAACGTCGAAATACAAGAATTACAGCTGCGCGTGGCTTTTTTTTTTTCTAATAAAAAGGGCAACCAAACATAGCAATTCACACATTTTTTTTAAAATTTATATCCCACAGAAATTGCCGCAATGTTTGGTCGCGTTCTAACCGGAGAACAGGCCGCGGGTGATTGTACTTCTAAACTTTTCAGAGCGTTTACCTATTTCAGGTTAAGTTAACACCACTATACTATCTATATATCTATGTATATCTATCTATCTATCTCTCTCTCTCTCTCTCTCTCTCTCCCTCTCTCTCTCTACATATATATATATATATATATATATATATATATATATATATATATATATACTGGCGTAATATTTATTGTTTTATTTATTTATTTTTCTAAGAAGTGCATATTCTATTACAAGCTGGTGCGTGCGCGGAGCGGTACCTGTGATAATTGTGTTTTCTCGTTAAGCAGTCATTTTTGCAGGTTCAAGCGATGTATTGGAAGCATCCACAGGTTATGCATAACTATATGTTCACGCTGCTTATACGTATATAGTAGTATCCTTGTGGACTTCACGAATACAAAGTCTTAAATATGTAAACCTAAAACACAAAAAAATAATTTTTTTTTTCAGAATGCCAAATTTTATATTACCCACTAAAAAAAACACACTTAGAAAAAGAAAGGGGAAACAAAGCTCACAATTAGGAGTGTTATCAAAATAACGTAGCAAATAAATTAAGATAGGAATAAGCATCCTTAAAAAGATACTGAACCAAAATTTGGATTTCCCAACATATTGCCGCAGAATCATTGAACGGGACGCTACGATCCCCAAAATATCACTCATATATAGATATCTAGAACAGTAGGCCGTACATTCGGAAAAGAAGGGTGCGATCAAGTGAGGGCTATTAAAACAATTAAAACAGGGACAACACAACCACATCTTTCAACTAGCAACAGACGAGTAAACTTTCAACAGCGATTGTCCTCCTAGTACATTTGAGAATAAGGGGAAGCGGCCTCGCTTCTCTCCTCCTCGAATCGGTTCACCAGCTCGACGGGACATAGCAAGGAGGAGAGGGAATGAGAATCGTGACGTGCCTTGTGTCGTCGGCCGTGTTCAATCGCGCACTTGTTTTTCCAAAAATACGGCGATCCTCTAAAGATATCGGTTAATGAGTGATGTTTTTCGGTTTTTCAGCGTGCTGACGGAATAAAAACCTCGATAGCCGTAGGTTCACTGATCCAGATGGTTCCCGTGCTAGTGCCTTTTTTAGTTCGCCGACGTAGCGTTCTGCCTGCCCTTTAGTGGTAGGATGGTACGGGGCCGACGTGACGTGCTGAATCCCATTATTCTTGTAGAACGTTGCAAGCTCAGCAGAGACGAAAGCTGTCCCGTTGTCCGACAATACATTCTGTGGAATTCCAAACGTCACAAACAGGGATCGCAGCACATCGATGACTGCCGCCGACGTAGGATGGCTTACTTGACGTACCTCCAGCCGTTTGGTGAAGGCATTCACCACCACCAAGAAAGTGCGTCCCTCCACGGGACGTGCAAAATCCACATGCAGTGTGTGCCGCGGTGTCGACGGTTGTGGAGACGG